AAGAAAAAGCCACCCACCATTTTATAAAACAAAAGCCAATTATAGTGTGGGAAAGTACAAACTGCAGAAAACCAGAAGTCAATAGAAGAAAAACTACTGGTTTACATGAAAGAAAGGAAACATTTCATTCCGACAGAGTTACTTGGTGAATGCCGCCACCACTGCCCACAGAACCTCGTTGGTGTTGGCCTTCAGACATTCTACCTCRGGGTCTAAGTCAAGAAGCTGCCGCACTCTCTTGGTAGCTAAGTCATACTGCTCATCCAGAAGAGGTGCAAAGGCATTCTCCAGGACATCCGAGGCATGGGCTAAGTAAATGAGAGCCAGCAAKCGCTTGTCCATGCGGTGAGGGTCATTCACCCATTTGTCAAGAACAGCTTCTTGTACCTTCTTGATGAGGCRCTGCTTAATGTTGTTATTGGTGAGAGGATGTGTCGTCATGTCAAAAAGTAGGAAGTTCTGTTTCTCTGTCGTCAGTACACCCTTTTCCACCAGGTTTTTAGCTAATCGTTCCCTCACGTTTCTTAATTGATAATGCAATTTTAATGGATTCCATGTCTCACCTAAACAAAAGATTTTGGAAATTAGAAATGAAATGATGAGTATTACTTGCTAATCTTGCAAAGTTTAATAGTAAAAGAATGAGCAGTAAAATTTAATTTTTCCCCCAAGAAATAAAAAAACTCAACAATATTTTGCTCCCCAATAAGACCATGAAGCATCTGAGGCTAGACCTTTGAATTTTAGGCACCTGACATATTCTCAGGCATGGTATTCACACAAAAATCTAATCAGAAAATAGTTTTCAAACCATAGTCACCCTTAGTCTAATGGGAAAATGAACTCAAATTATATTTCTAGTTCACTCCAGCTATTGCCAAAAAGCGACCAACAGCAAAATACAAACTTTCTCTACAAAACACCAGTCTGCAACAAATGGACAAAAAAATTGATGTTTTCATGATATTCCTGGAAGTGCCAAACACATAGTCTAAAGGCTTTCCTGTGCAGGCTTGCTTTGATGACAAATAACATAAAGCTAATTCTAAGAGGACAACAAATTTCACAATTTTAATCTTGTGCATACTTCCAAGATAAATATTTTAAATAAAAGCAAATATTTTTCACAAGTTTTTTTCTTTATATTAGATTGAAAGAAATACAACAAAATATTAACCTTGGTTATCTTTTGGATTCTGTGTGACAATTTTTCTTCGTATTTTTCATTATTTTCCAAATGTCTCAAACAAATGTTAACTATTTTTGTAATTTGAAAAAAAAAAAAACTATAATACTTTCCAAAATTAGGACATGACAAAGATCAACCACAGGTATCATTAATTAGTTGCAAAAGCTCTAAGGTTAAAATTTTATAAAACTGAGAAAACCTTTAACTGGTCTGCTCACAACAGACCAATAAACACCCGAAATAACTAAATTTAAAAGTAAAAAAACACAGTTCCTCAGTTGCACAAGTCACATTTCAAGTACAAATAGCTATGTGCAGCCCTTGGTTACTGACTAGATGGCATGAAATAAAATATTTTCATCATCACAGAAAGTTCTAGTGGTCTTAAACTATATTACTGTTCAGTTAGCCATGGACAAATATGTTACTATATGATTGAATACTAGTGAATACAGACTTATGACAGAGTAAGCATTCAATCCTAGACTTGCCTCACCATAAATAGAAATCTGGAGGAAATCTAAGCAACCCCTATGATGTCCAAACTTACTACCTGGAGGCACACACAAGACAACAGAGCAGAATAGTCACTCTGGTCTGAGATCAGAGGTCAGAGAAGCCAAGGAAGCTGGAATGTGCAAGGCAGAGTACTGAAGCAAGATCTATGCACAGAAAGGAAGTCTAGAACCCTGGGTGGTATACCCTTGAGTCTCTGACTAAAAACTAAGGCACACATGTTAAGGTAAGAAATTGGGCAAGGTTAGACAAAGAAATACCAGAAAGTTTTAGCTGAATAATTCCAAGAGTTCACATAAAGATCAGAAAAACTTTAGGTGAAAAGACCTCAATGAACACGTAGGATGTGCAGAAGAGACCACAGAAGGATGACACTTTAGTAGTACGGTTAAACTAGATCAGACCACCCAAGATCGGCTCTAAAATAAGCTGATCCAAGCCAGGCACAGTGGTGGGTGCCCGTAATCCCAGAGGTCTGGGAGGCTAAGGAAAGTGGATCCAAGTTCAAACCCAGCCTCAGCAAATTAGTAAGGCCCTAATAAGCAACTCAGTGAGACGCTATCAAAATAAAAAAATGAAACAGACTGGGTATCTGCTCAGCAGTTAAGCACCCCTGGGTTCAATCCCTGATACCAAAAAAATAAAATAAATATAAGATGATCCACAAGTAGTTTAACTATTTACTCCAAAACAAAATTCAACACTCTTCAAAAAACAGCACTCAACAATCTAACATTCACAATGTCTGCCATTCAGTTAAACACAAAAATCATTAGATTTGCAAAGAAGCAAGAAAATATGATCTAACACTAAGGGAGAAAAAAAATAAAGGAAATAGTAAACCAAATCAGACATCACCCAGAAATGACAGTGGTAATGGAATTAGCAGACAAAAAAACTTAAAACAGCTACTGTAAGTATCTAATTTAAAGGAAAATATGCACACCAAATTTTTTCTTTTTTAAAAAGGCTTGTTTCCTCTTAAGGAATGATACAGAATTGTCAATTTTGGATTTACTTTGAAAAAGCAGGGAATTCAAAACTGTCAAATATTATATGACATCTAGGCACAACTGCACAACCCTATAATCCCAACTACTCAGGAGTCTAAATAAGCAGGAAGATTACAAATCCAAGGCCAGCCCCAGCAAATCTGCAAGTCTCTGTCTCAAAATAAAAAATAAAAAGGGCCAAGAATGTAGTTTAGTCATAAAGTGTTCCCTGGATTCAACCCCCAGTGCCAGGAGAAACACACACACACACACACACACACACACACACACACACACACACACGTACCTAACTCACTAATAATTAAAGTCACTCCATGGATTTAAAGACAGCAAACAAACAAAAAGTAGTCCTGGCAAATCAATTTCCACAAAAGAAAAACAATTGCTACATTCAATGTCTTTGGTACTTTCAAAAAGAAAAAGCACTGAAATATATTTGGAGCCATATTAGATTTAACAACCTTACAGTATTAAAGAAAAACAGGGAGTAATAAACATGATTCTTATTTCAACTTCTGGTGTCAAACAAGATCATAACTACATTCAATGTCAAGAAATTAGTAACTGCTGATGAGGCAGTATAACAAAACAAGATTAAGAACAGGCTCTATAGCCAGACTGGTTCAGTTTAAACCCCTACTTAGGCAAACACCCAGCTATGTAGCCTGTGCAAGGCTCAACCTCTCTCTCCATTTCTTCATCTGTAAAGTAAGGATAACATTGTATCAAGCTCAAAGGGATATTATGAGAATTAAATGAGACATCAAATTCTCAGAATAGAGCCTGATACACAATTAAGTTCTCAATAATTGTTAAGTATTATGTGCAAAATCAACATCCTGGATGAAAAAATTTATAGTATTCACAATGTTCTAGGCATAGAGTAGGTACCAAGAGTATAAACATTAAGACATATTTTTTATCCTGAAAGAATTTAAAATCGAATTAAAGACACATTCATGTTAGTGGATAGAATAAAATGGAAAGAGGGCCCTATGAATGACATGAACAAAGTTCCCAAACAAATGAGAAATGACTTGGGTTTAATATTAAGGGATATTTCTAAGAAGTTAGAAAAGAAAGGCCAAGCTAAATCTAGAAATCTGAATTTCTAGAGAATCTGGATTTCCAGAGAAGAACAGCCTGGACTATGGACCAAAGAAACAACAAAATACATAGCCGGTGATTATAAGCGGGCTATAAGTCCTAGAGGAGGTACACCTCTTCTTTCAAAGGTATGGGACATCCAATGTTTTATTGTACCAGTCCACTGTCTCCCAATAAATGCCTGTCTGCTGCATCTTTCACCAGACAGTATGGGCTTTATTTTGTGTTTCCTATGGCAACAATTAGAGTAGAATGGGTTCTATTAATTGATTTTTAGAAATTTAAACTAATACAACATAAAATACTAGCCAAATTTACATTAGTCTGTTTAAAAAACTATAGTTCAATTCTAAATTAATTAACCATGCAGCTAATATGTAAATTACCAAAAAAACACTACTATCCCCTGGCAATTCTAGCTAATTAGGTATTATTGCTTTAATATGTTTATGTTGTCATCAAACCAAAGTGTAGCAGAACAAATAACAATCCACCCAACTTTAACTTAGTAAGTCAAACAGGAAGGAATTTTATGCCCCACAAAACATCTTGGTCATCTATTCCCAAACAATAGGAAACAGAGAAGTATGTAATTCTGAAAACCCAGTTAAATTTCTCTTTGCAAGCATTAAAAACTCTTCTAATGCTGCTACACAATGGTTTGTTTTCTTTCTCAAGGGAAACAGATAGGATTAACAGTTTATGACCACTGCTTATTGTACTGAAGTCATACGAATATCTGCCCTCACCATATCCTTAATTATATCTTATATATTACAACCAATGGAACATGTAATGCTTACAAAGTTCCTGTGAAAAATTTCTCAACTCCAAAGTATGCTACCTTAATTGTTCACTGTTGCAACTAAAATTGAGAAGAGTCTATACACAGACCCACCTTCAATAAGGTGTTCCATTTATGATTGGACCTTCTCATGGGCAACCATTTCTGCCTCAGAGGAAGTAATAAAAAGGGACCAAGTCATCATCTTCTTTTGTAGCAATTCCCTGAAAGAGGGCAAACCATGTGTGCTCACTCAAGAAAAAGTGAGTTATTCAGATCTCCTCAGATATAAAAACTTCAAAGGGTTTTTTAGATCTCCTCAGATATAAAAAATAAATTCCATAAGCAGAAGGTTGAAACCATAAGGGAATATCTCAAGTGCTATATAATATTTCTTGTGATACACAAGAAAAAAGGTATAATGAAATAAATGAGTATCTTGGTATCCTGAAATTTCTACCTTTTATTTTTAAAAACAAATTAAGCCAAGTGCAAAGGATAAAGTCACCCCCAAGTTAGGCATAATTAAGACACCAGTATAAATTGGGATGAGAGGAGTATAGATGGATTAATGAAAATATAAGGTTTGATCTATGCCAGCTACTAAAGATTTAGTTACTTCAGTTTAAGAATATTAAAAATCTTTTTAAATTTTTGTAATAAATGCTTGATGAATGAGTAGTGTGTGAATTACTACATTAAAAGATATTACTGTGATCCAGTCCTTAAATCACTGTGTATGTATACATACAGAGTGTGTGTGTGTGTATGTATGGAAAGACTTGGTAAATTATACATGCAAATCTAAAATATATAAAATTTATTTGTAGTTCATTTTTTAAAGGAAAGTGTGAGAAGAAAAGTTCTTAAGAGATAATATTCACCACCCAACAATCATACCAAAAGAGAATGACATACTAAATAATTTCTCTGCAAAGAACTCCTTACTGCCTGGACATCATATTAAACTATAAGCAGCTTCCCCCATACATGTGGCAGTCTAGTGACACCCTGTGACCAAACTGATCAACTACATATATTGTGACCAAACTGATCAACTACTTAAGGTTTCAGAAGCCAGAAATTTTATTTTACTAGAGTTTACAATTATACATAATTGTTGGGTTTATCCCCTACTCATACATGCGTACAAATTAATTTCAGTTCATGACTAATTTTATTTTTAAAAACAGTAGTTTTATTAAAAACTTTTAAAGTCTGTCTTGCATATTTTTTATTAATTTTAAGAGATGTTTAAATGTTTAAAATGTTATCAATAGTTTTAACATTATATAATAAAAAATGAGTCCCTAGGTATACCATCCATCCCAGGTAAATAAACTTTTTTGTTTCTTAATGAAAATATTCTCTAACTGCCTTCATTTCTACATTAAAAGCCTCCTGTGTACCATCTCTACTGCTGGTTATAATAACCACCAATAAACCTGTGTTAATCATTCTCTCTTCTTTACATATGATCACACATTTCTGTTAACAATGCAACAGCATATAATCTTTGGAACAAACACAGACCCAGCATGTAAGGACAGATTCACCAATTTTACCACTACCTCTAATCCCTCTAAATAGATACACTTCCTTCTGTGTCTCTTTCTTACTCTTTAAAAAAAGTCTAATCCAATGTCTACATCTTCCTTCATCTACTAAAGATCTCAAGGATTTCTCTTTTCTGAGCTACCGAACTTTCAAAGAACCATACTGTTAAACTCTAATCTGTTATCAAATTATTTAGACATATACAATTGTTCCAAGTGGACTTTAAGATTCTTTCAATCGTTTTTGAGTATCTCTTTTAAAAAAGTTTCATAGCACCTATGTCTATATTGTTGAAGCAACTGGTATTTGATACCATATACTATCTTAAAGCAACTAAACATTTTTAAAATTTTAAAAATCAGAAAGCTGGCCTCAGAACTATACCCTTATAAATGATTAAAATGGTAAATATTACATTATTTATATTTCACCTAAAGAAAAGAAATTTTAATCAGCAAGCAATATTTTGGTACATTCACTAGATGGGAAACATACATTTGCTTAAATTAAATCTTAACTGTATTTAAATACTTTTGAGAAAAGCTTAGAAGACTTCACATCTTTTCAATGTCCAATCAAGTGGGAAGAGTGTAATAGCTGCTCAAGTTAAGAACCAAGTTCAGTTACTAAATAAAAGTCACTCATAAAATGTTAGGTAAATACAAGTAGATAGTCATCTTAAATGTCAATCCAATACCCTTATGTGACATACTAATTTATACTAATTTCCTCTGCCAATGCATATACTGTCAAAGGACATGTGGCAGTCAAAGATATGCTATTAAACCCAATGTACTATTAGTATGTATGATGTAAGATCAAGAAATGACTTATGGGCGGAGCATCTGAAGGTATCTCCACAGCTTAACCCAGCCTACACAGAATAAGAAGTGGACTACAATTCTGATAAAGAATGATGGGAGCTGGAAGAAAGAATATTACATCTCATCAATAAATGCTCAGGGACTAGGGATATAGCTCAGTTAGTATAGTGCTTGCCTCGAATGCACAAGGCCTAGGTTCAATCCCCAGCACCACCAAAAATACATATATTTGTATACATACATACATACATCATAAGATGAAACTGGGGGAAAAAAACACTTTTTTCCCCTCTTAGTGATAAATAACCTTCAAATCTGTCTCAGTGACTAAACAAGATTCTGCTATTTTTTATGGGCTCCTTTCAAAAGAATTTAAAATTTTATAAATGCTTTTAAATAAAATTCATTTTTTTTTTCTACAGTGGCTTACCACTAAGTAATTCAATCCAGTTCTGGACTGTTTCTGGAGGTTGAGTCTCCTTAACATGCTTTAGAGCTTCATCCAGAAGAACATCCCCTGTTGGTGCATCGGACTTACAAATCACCTAAAACACAAGCATTAAGACTGTTTTCTGACATAAACTCTTTAAATAAAAAAAATCAACAACTGTGCAAGTAATTCACCAAGCTCAAAGTGTTCATTTCATGCAGTATCAAAGTTCAAAGTTTAAATTAATTCTGTGTTAAGGAAATTCTGTATTTAACCTAACCAGATTAGGTACAAACAAATGAAAATGAAGCTACTATGCAATAACTAGTAAGGCAAAATGCTAGAATAATTCATTCTTAATACAATTCCACTTATTGAACCTTGGGCTATTTGATCCAGAAATTCATTTATAAAACATTATTAATTCAAAAACCAATCTTGCTAGGTGCTGTGGCACACACACGCCTGTAATCCCAACAGCTCAGGGGGCTAAGGCAGGAAGATCACAAGTTCAAAGCAGCCTCAGCAAAAACAGGGGCTAAGTAAGCAACTGAGTGAAACCCTGCCTCTAAATAAAATACAAAATAGGGCTGGGGATGCAGCTTGTGGTCGAGTGCCACTGAGGTCAATCCTCAGTAACCCTACCCACCAACCCCCCAAAAAACAGTCTCAATTATTTGAAAGAATCTCATATACAATAAAGGTGACATTTCACTTCAGAGAAAGAAATCTGAATATCATTAAGTTGACTAATGAACTGGAGGCAAATATCAAGTAAGATTGGCTCCTCTGAGCTTCTTCCACAATAAAAGACTCAGATTCAAATAGGAAAAATAATTTTAAGGATGAGAAAGACTTTTTTTAAACTGCCACCACTAGTAGAATAAAAATTTTATTAAATCCCCAGCACTGCCCTCTGGGGAAAGAAAAAACTTAGAGCCTTCAAAGAAAACACAGCACACCTAGATTTCAGACCTCTGGCCTCCAGAACTGTGAGGGAATAAATCTACTTTTTTTTTWATTTATTTTATTTAATTAGGTATATATGACAGCAGAATGCATTTTGACTCATTGTACATAATTGCAGCACAACTTTCCATTTCTATGGTCGTACACACTGAAGCATCACACCATATGTGCACTCATACATGTTACCTAGGGTAATGATGTCCACCTTATCCCACCATCTTTCCTGCCCCCGTGTATCCTCCCCATTTTCCCTCCCCTTTGCCCAAAGTTCCTCCATTTTTCCCATGTCTCTCCCCTCCCCATTATGGATCAGCCTCCACTTATCAGAGAGAACTTTCGGCCTTTSGTGTTTTGGGATTGGCTTACTTTGCTTAGCATGATATTCTCCAACTCCATCCATTTACCTGCAAATGCCACAATTTTATTCTTTTTTAATGCTGAGTAACATTGCACTGTGTGTGTGTGTGTGTGTGTGTGTGTGTGTGTGTGTGACCATTTGTTTATCCATTCATCCACTGAAGGGCTTCTAGTTTGGTTTCACAGTTTAGCTATTGTGAATTAAGCTGCTATGAACACTGATGTAGCTACATTACTATAGTATGCTAATTTTAAGTCCTTTGGGTGTAGACCAAGGAGGGGAATAGCTGGGTCAAATGGTAGTTCCATTCCAAGTCTTCTAAGGAATCTCCATACTACTTTCCAGATTGGTTGCACCAATTTGCAGTCTCACCAGTGTGCCTTTCTCCACATCCTTGCCAACATTTATTATTGTCTGTATTCTTGATAGCTGCCATTCTGACTGGCGTGAGATGATTAGAGTAGTTTTGATTTGCATTTCTCTAATTACTAGAGATATTGAACATTTTTCATATATTTGTTGATCAAGTGTATATCTTCTTCTGAAAAGTGTCTGTTCAGCAGCTCCTTAGCCCATTTACTGATCAGGTTGTTTGGGTTTTTTGGTGTTACGTTTTTTGAGTTCTTTATATATCCTGGATGTTAGTTCTCTATCTAACGTGTGTGTGGCAAAAATTTTCTCCCAAAATGTAGGCTCTTTGTTCACCTCTTTGTTTCTTTCTTTTGCTGAGAAGAAGCTTTTTAGTTTGAATCCATCCTATTTATTAATTCCTGATTTCATTTCTTGTGCTTTAGGAGTCTTGTTAAGGAAGTCGGGACCTAATCTGATATGATGAAGTTTTGAGCCTTACTTTTTCCTCTAGGTCCTAGGTCTTTGATCCACTTTGAGTTTTGTGCACAATGAGAGACGGGTTTATTTTCATTTTGCTGCGTAAGGATTTCCAGTTGTCCCAGCACCACTTGTTGAAGAGGTTATCTCTTCTCCAATGTATGTTTTTGGCGCCTTTGTCTAGTATGAGATAACTGTATTTAAGTGGGTTTGTCTCTGTTTTCTATTCTGTACCATTGGTCTACATATCTATTTTTGTGCCAATACCATGCCATTTTTGTTACTATAGCTTTGTAGTATAGTTTAAGGTCTGGTATTGTGGTGCCTCCCACTTCACTCTTCTTGTTGAGGACTGCTTTGGCTATTCTTCCAAATGAATTTCATGATTGCTTTTTCTATTTCTATAAGGAATAATGTTGGATTTTAATTGGAACCACACTGAATCTGTATAGTGCTCTAGGTAGTATGGTTATTTTGGCAATATTAATTTTGCCTATCCAAGACCATGGGAAAGAAACTTTCCATCTTCTAAGGTCTTTTTTAATTTCTTTCTTTAGTGTTCTGTAGTTTTCATGGTAGAGGCCAATATGACCTCTACTGAACCACACCACAGAAATAACTACTCAAACCTTCACAGTGAAGACTGATATCTGAAAAGCACTCAAGGTCTACTAAAAAGATCAATAGCCAGGGCTGGGGTTGTAGCTCAGCAGTAGAGTGCTTGCCTTGCATGTGTGAGGCACTGGGTTGGATCCTCAGCACCACATAAAAATAAATAAACAAAACAAAAGTACTATTTCCATCTACAACTAAAAAAAAATTTTAAAAAAAAAGATCAATAGGGTAACTTGCACAGAAACCTTTTTGAACTTCTTAAAGTTATGTCAAGTCTTTGAAAATCATAGCTTTTAGAAGCAGCAAATAAACTTGGGCATATATCTACATATATAAATAGCAGTAGTCATTGATCCTAATAATGAATTATATTATTCATTATATATGAAAGAATCAGGAAACCAAGAATACAAAAAGGATAAGGAATGCAATCCAATAAAGATAACATTTAAATCACTTCAATTTCTGAAAGCTAGTAGTAGAAACATTCTTTGTTTTAAGCAGAAAAAATTCAATAAAAGGATGTTAGCAATCCTCTTACCTTTCTTGTTAAAAGACTTTTACGTCTCATTCCACAAGCCTCTAGTTGTAACCTTCCTCTCAATGCTAATTCAATTAACATACAGCCACGTAATCCAGATGATATACAGTCATTCCAAAATGATGTGTAACCCTATTTTTAAAAAAAAGGAAAACAAAATTTGCCTTTAATTAAGAGTCAGAAATACTTTTAGCCAAAGTCATTTTTTATTGTCTTTTACCTTTCATTATCTTTCTACAACAAAATACTGAAAAAACAGAATACATATTATTAATCTAAAGTTACCATGGTCTTTTGTCTTTTCACCATATATTCTTACATACAGATAAAACAACTTTGATCAAAGACTTAGAAACATAATCCATGCTTTACTAAGCTGTGTATTAGAATCTTACTGATCACAAGTTCCAGGAAACCTGGAAGTTAACCTCAGACTAGTATTTAATTAGTAGTATGTGAGAAAGTTCAGGAAATCAGGAAAAACAATCTAGCCAATTAGGTCTCAAGGAGAATTAAAACATCATTTATTTGTTGCTATAAGATAAAAACACAAAGTTAATTTTGGAATACATCAGAAAAAGACATGCATAAACCCATGAGTAGAAAGGACAATTATATGCCTAAAGTTCTGGGTAACAGTAAAAATATTATCTTGGCCCTTAGAGAATGTAAGTGTAATATCCAAGCATCAGGGAATACTGGTCAATCAGGCAAGAGCAAGAAACAGGGGTTGTTCAAATTATAAAGCCAAGAACTCTGCCAGCAGAGTTCACAGCTATCAATTTAAGATTCTCAGTTCTCATAAGAAAGTGGAAACTTCACTGGTTCTAGTTAAGCCCCCTCAGAAGTGGATAACAAATAATTTTGGTAGGAGAGAAGAACATGTCAACTGAATTACAGAAGAGTGGACAGTCAGAATTAGGATCTAACCGGGATTGAGGAGGCCTGGACCCTCATATCTGGCACTTTTATTAGGGGTAGGGATGCTAGGGATTGAATAGGGGCCAGAGGTTACCAGTGAGCTACATTTCCAGATCTTTTTTTTTTTTTTTTTTTTAACCTTGAGACAGGGTCTTGCTAAATTTTGGATGCTGGTCTTGAACTTATAATACAATCCTCCTGCCTCAGCCTCCTGAGATACTGGAATTACAGGTGTGCACCACCATACCCAGCTGATTCTGGCACTTTTAAAAATCAGTCCTGGGAGCTGGGGTTATGGTTCAGTGGTAGAGCACTTTTCTCACATGACTGGGGCACCAAATAAATAAATAAATAAACAAACAAACAGATAAATAGATAAATAAAATGAAGATACTGTTTCTATCTACAACTAAAAATTAAAATAATCAGTCCTGGTACTTTGTAAGGTCAGAGTGGTCAATTATGGCCCATGAATCATTACTGATACAAGACTTACTTAATACAAGTAATTAATTATTGATACAAGTCTACTTAAAGTAGACTGAGGAAGAATTCTTAAGAATGAGGAGGGCTTTGAGAAAATGAGAATTTAAGGGAACCCTAAGAGAAAAACAAAATTATAAGTTTGGGGGATTTTTTAGAGGTCAATTTAAATGTGAGGTAGATGGGGAAAATTAGATTTGAGAGAATCCTTTTAGACTTGGTAAATGTAAATGATCTGATCAAATTAATACCAGCAATTTTGCAAGTGGTTACTAAAACCAATAATAGAGATTAAGTAAAACACACAGAAATTAAAGCTGTAGGAAGACTGGAAATAGATTCTACATGAAACCAGAATTACAGAATAGATTCTACATGAAACTAGAAGTACTAGAATTACAGATATGTGGCTCTAACTGACCTGGACACACAGATGGAGTTCCTAGAGTTACAGTTCTACAAAGAAAGTACACCTCATGAAGAATGGTGTGGAAGGATCTACAGCCTGAAAGTCCCAGCTGAACAGAATTTAGAAGTTTACATTTGATAGCAGAGGACTAAATAAACATTAGTCTCAACTGATATCAGTAACCCAGAGATGTTAGCAAAATTGAGTTTTTATTAATAGACTTAAGAGATTTATACTTAGTGAATGGTTCTGGAAAATTCATGTTGGAAAGCAGATGAAGGACAATTCTATAGCAAGGCTCTGGGACTCATCAGGAATATTCCAAAGATAAGTGAAGCCAGGCATAGTAGCATACACCTGCAATCCCAGAGACCTGGAAGACTGAGGCCCTGTCTCAAAAAATAAAAAGGGCTGAAGATGTAGCTTAGTAGTAGTTCCCTGAGTTCAATTCCCAGTTTAAATAAATAAATAAATAAATAAAGCCAACAAAAGACAAAAATAAGCAACAGAAAGCCTATTATTTTGTGACCTTCTGCTAAAATCCATATCATAAAAGCATAATCAAGAATTAAATGAGAAGGGTTTTAAAAAGACAGGTTAAACAAAAATGACCCMAAAAAAAAAAAAGTATGACTGATCAGATGGCAATAACACACGGGAAAGAGAGAATGCAATAGAATGGGAGAGTCAAGTGAATTTGGTCGTGACATAAGCTTGCAAGGTTTTTGACAATACAATACAGACTACCAGCTGTAGGGGAACTTTACATAAGATAATCTTGCCAAGTGCTGAGGAGTTCTTTTATTTTTTCATCTGTCTTGTGCTAACCTTAATAATATATATTTTATCAACTTCTAAAAATATTATTTCTAAGGTTTAGTATCTTTGAAATTTGAGTGCACTTTTAAATAATAATGGCACCTTAAAGGACATTCAGTATTATAGCTATTGAACTGACCTAAATACATGGAAGAGAGAGGAAACCTGTGGTCTAGGACTGCCAGGTACGCAGCAATAGAGATGAACTTGTCAGTTACTGGATAGTACTTAAAATGTGGTACAAGATTGGGCAACTGAATACCCAGATCTAGTCATGCTGACAATCTGCCCGATTTATCAGTGAATATGATTTTACAGGAGTGCATCAATAACAACCAGACAGCCCAGAGGATTTCAAACTGCTACTCTCTATGAAGCAATTACAGAAGCCTGTAGTCTAGGCAGAATAGTTACGTATTCACAACACTTGTTTGTGCCCAGCAAAAATCTTATACCCATCTATCAAGCAGAGAAAGCYGCTACTTTAAAATGGTAATTAAAATATGTGGGGAAAACTAGTGATTAACTGGCAATATCAAGCTATTATTTGGTTCAAAAATATGGAACCATACTTGAGAGGATAAAAGAATTGATAATGTATTCAGGGATGGTACCCAACTCTTGCTCCTGGAAGCTAATAATCATTTCAACCTTAAATGGGTTTGAAATTCTACAACCACTAATGGAGGGGATACCTTCATGGCCTCAGTCCACTAGTGCTCAGCATTCAAAGTCACCCTAAGGAAGGACCACTAGCCAATCAGCTGGTTGATGAAGCAGCAGCAGCTGCACTAAGATCCACAGGACCTTGAGGGTATCCCCCATGCACTGTATAACTAATAACTCAGTCCTAAGATGATCACAAAATAAATAGTTTAGGGCACTACAAGTCCAAGATTATGATCAGAAATTAGTCCATATATTTTAAAATATAAGAAGAACAGAGACATCCCAAGAAGGAATAGGTCATATCTACCCACAAAGAATACAGAAAAACATGACTTTACTAGGTTTATAGATCCAAAACACAACAAAGCATGCAGAACAGAATATGCCATTAAGACACCAATATGCTGTGCTGATGTACTGGATGCCAGAAAAACCTGTAAACAGGCTCATTTGAAAGTTATACCATGTGCAGCTCAGAGATATCGAATAAAACTGGGAAGTGAGACAGAAAAAAAAACCCTGGAGACCAATTTATTTAAAAAAAAAAAAAAAAAGAAAAGAAAAACTACTTGCCTTTTACCAGTCACCTCTTAATAACCATTAAATCCCAGAAGGCAGACACTCTGCAATGGAGCACCAGTCTGCAGAGTTCTATACCAATCTGTTTAAAGTTTCTAGGGTCAAAGCCTCAGACAAATGGCCAATCTTCAGGGCAGATAACATTAAGGTTGTTCAAAACTAAACTGGGATAAACTCCCTTTTTCATATAGCATGCCATTCAAAAGTAAGGAGCCCAAAAGAAAAAATGAATGACACAATAACAAGGGAATGACCCAGGGGACATGTTCTGCAGACATAATACTTCCCTCAATGGGCAGGATCAAGGTCAAAATTTGGGGAGCAGAGATTATAGGAAACCCAATGTGGTTTCACATATAAGCAAGAATCAACTGATTTTTCTCAGTGATAATATTGATACTTATTTGGATTCCAAATGCCTGATTTCCATTTCCCCCTCAAAAGGCCCAACCTGAATGGGGAAGATATTTTTACTGGGTCCGCTATAGCTGCAAACAATGAAATGAGGTCTCACCACTGATCTACTCTTAAGTGCCTAGTCTTCTGTTAAGAAGGAACTCACAATTTTAATAAAATAAATACATATTATATAAATGTCATATGAGAGATATATTCAGATGTGTGTGTTTAGTTTGGTTTGGTATGGTACCAGAGATTGAACTCAGGAATGTTTAACCCTGAGCCACATCCCCAGCCCATTTTATATTTAGAGACAGGGTCTTGCTAAATTGCTATGGCTGGCTTGGAACATACAATCCTGCCTGAGCCTCCTGAGCCACTGGGATTACAGGCATGCACCACCCACCTAACTGTAAAATATTCCCTAATGTGTTATAAAAATATTTGCAACATGGAAAAATTAGGGGTGGTATATCAGGTAAGTTCAGTATTTCCCAAACTTTCTCGACTTTCTTGACCTTGGAACACTTATTTTTGGTATGCCTTTAACAGCTTGCAGATTACAATTCTATGTAAATCAGTTTTTTTAAAAATCCTGGTGCAAAAGATCAGTGCAAAAATAAGAATTAYATTATCAAATTATGTGTGTGTATAAAATGTTTCCATTTTTAAGTAGATAAGAAATGTTAGCAGTAGAAATGGTTATAGTTAATTTTATTTCAGACTTTATAAATTAAAGAAATAGTTAATTTTAGTTTAGACTTTATAGACTAAAGAAGATAGGAAAACACCATGGTTTTTCAGACATATAAGGTAATAATTAACACAGTATGAATAACAGTGATAAAGGCAA